ACATGAGTGTCATATGACAGAAAGGGTCTCAAGATTTTTATCTGTTTCTAAATCTCCTCTCAGCCTGTGCAACTCGGTTATGTCAGCTAGATGGGCAATGATTCCAACCTTGAAGATCCTGAGGAAGATTGCAAAACATACCTCAGGCATTTTTCTTACTGCATAGTTTGTATTCTAAAATGGCAGAAACACAACTGAAATATTGATTTTTCTTTATCTAGTGTGTATCTTCCAGTTCTTCGGTGCTATTGTGCTGTTTTCAAAAATTCAAATTCCTGAAGTGCAGCCTTTAGGTAAGTCTCCTGGAATATCATGAAACTCCCACAAAGGGCGAAAGCCAGACAAAATACCAAGAGTGCCAGATAGAAATAAGACTCTCACAGGAAAGCAATAGAAGAGAATTAAAAATACATGTGTCTGTAAGAGAATGGTGCCTCGAAACATAAATTGTGATGAGTTCTCCAAAGGTCCGTGAGAAAAAAGAATAGGCGAGAAACAGAGTAAGAGGGCGGAGTAACAGTGACAGGGCAAAGGGTATAGAGAAATTCCCCCAATTGCAGAGATGGAAAGAACCTCGGAGGTTTGCCACCCTGCTCCTCAACCGACGGTTGAACGAACCCTCTCTACATATCCCAGACTAGAATTGACTGGCCTCTCCCTATTTTAGAAGAAAGTCACCTCTCTCCCACCCCCTTTTCCCAATTCCCCTTTCCAAGCACGCTATCACCCACCTCCAAGAACCGTGCCCAGGAAGATGAATTTCTTTTTGTGACGTTTCAGAAAATTCCACATAGATCTCAGCATCTTTAGGCCCTGGGGATGTGGGTTGCCTAGGGGTGAGGGGCAGGTTCACCAGGAAACCGTTTCTTTGTCACCTGGCCCGCACGACCCGGCAGGAGCGCCGTCGTCCCGCTTGGTGCTCTCCAGAAATCACAAACGCGACTTTCCGCAGAGACTGTCACCGGAGCGGGAAGGGGGCGTGGACTACAGCACAGCAGCTGCGCCTTCTGCCCCGTCGCGCCACCGCAGCAGCTCACTAGTCCGGCGCGTCCAGGTCCGCTCAGAAATCGCTCCCGGGTGCCTTGCCATTCGACTCCCCCGGAAACGATGGCCCGCGCTCGCCGCGTTCCGCTGCCTGCGCTCCTCCTCCGCCGCGGCCTCGGGCACTGAGTGGCAGCCCAGTGCGATATGGAGGCGAAGGCTGCGTCCACGCCTTCTACAGGCGGCGCGTTCTCGGTATCCGCGGAGGAAACAGAGAAGTGGATGGAGGAGGCGATGCACATGGTGAGGAGCCCGGGAGGTGGATGCCGCGGGTGGGAACTTTCTCCAGCCCTCACCCAGACCCTGGCTTTTGAGCAAGCGTCCAGGGCGCGCATTCTCGTCACCATAATCTTGATTCTCACAATGGCTCTGGGGAAGAAAGGCGAGGAAGTACAGAAATTATTTGTTTCATTGGTATGGAGTATGCTGCAGACTTAGCGATTCAGACGCTTGCTGACATGTACTTCCTCCCTTTCCTTCCTGTCGTCACACACTCTCAAATCCACAAAGTCACATTATGTGTTTTTGGCTCCTTGAACATATCTCTTGTAGTAGAAGAAAGGAAGCTGAGGATGTTTCTGGTAGAGAGCAGTATGAAAACAAGTCCCTGTGCTATCAGAGTCTATTACTCATTCATTCATTCATTTATTCTGCTTCCCTCTGTCCTTTTACTTCCTTCCCTCCCTCCCTTCAGGACTGCTCATCAAGGAGGGCTCTTACCAGATTTGTGTGTAATTCAAGCTTTACCTATATTCGTGTGTGCCGGCGAGCTCCTTAATAGGGATAAAGTTTGGGATCTATATGTATTAATGTATGAATATACATACTATAGATACATTTATACATTTGTATGTACATGTATGTATGTATTTACATATATAAGTATATATACAGTCATGCCCTGCATAACCAGGTCAACAAGGACCACATATACAGCTGTGGTCGTATAATATAATGGAGCTGAAAAATTCCTATTATCTAGTGATGTGTAGTCATTTTAACATCACAGTGGAATTACTTAATTTTCTCTAAGCCTTAGTTTGCCTATAATTTTTTTTCTTTAAGAGACAGGGGCACGCTTTGTTGCCCAGGCTGAAGTGCAGTGGCTGGATCATAGCACACGGCAGCCTCAAACTCCTGGGCTAAAGCCATCCTTCTTGCCTCAGCCTCCTGAGTGGCTGGCACTACAGGTGTGAGCAGCAACCACACCCGGAAATTTTTAAAATACATTCAGTGTAGCCTAAATGTACAGTTTTTATTAAGTCTACAGTAGTGTGCCGGAATGTCCTAGGCCTTCACATTCACTTACTACTCACTGACTCGCCTAGAGCTTCCATTCCTACAGGCTCCATCTATTGTAAGTGACCTATACAGGTGTAGCATTTTTTCTTTTACACATATTTTTACACTACCTTTTCTATGTTTAGATACACAAATGCTTACCATTGTGTTACAGGTGCCTGCAGTATTCGTGACAGTAACATACTGTTCAGATTTGTAGCCTATACAATAGACTACGCTAATCCATCTAGCCTAGGTGTGTGGTAGGCTTTACCGTCTAGGTTTGTGTAAGTACCTTCCATGATGTTCCCACAGTGATGACAAAAATCACCTAACTATGCATTTCTCACGATGTATCCCTGTGGTTACATGACACATGACTGTATGTGTGTGTATATGTATATACACACATATATATGCACACACATATAAATATATATGAAATACCCTTCAGTTTTTCATTTCTCTGATACTTCTGTAAAAAAAACTTTTTCATACGTGTTTTTGATTATATTCTTCTATCCTTAATGGCCTCTGGTCTTCTATAGTTAATTAATTCAATAATATTCATTCATTCATTTATTCCACAAATGTTTATTGCATACACTCTACTTGGCATTGGGAATTCATCACTGAAACTGATTTTGCTGTATTCTTCTCTGTTCTCCTTCTACTATATAAACTCTCACATTATTTCCCCCGCATTCATTCACCATTATAGCCAAATATTTTTAAGTTTCTTATGTAAGCCATGACATATTAGAACATCTATCCATTGTTTCTGTTACTTACATAATGTTTTCTTAAACTTGCTTCTCATACTTTTTTTGAAGTGACCCACAGTAAAAAATCTATTTTGTATTACAGCCCAGGAAACACATATATAATTTAAACAAAAGTTTCACAAAACGGTACATACCCTTTCTATGTACAGTTTTTCTGGTATTTCTGTTTTTACTGCATTTAAAAAAAATGCTAATCATGACTCATTAACTTGATATTATGACCCATTCTTTAAGCCCACTTCTAAATTTATTTTTTCCATTAAATTTACAGGGTGCATACCCTGCTATCTGATACTTTAAAAAATATGTTCACATGTGCATTTAAAAATTAATTTGTAATTTGTATGTAATAATATGGATCTATTAGCCCTGAACTCTTTTATGTTACTAAATTCTCCAAGTTGGAGACAGGAGTTTTTATATGATATCAAAATTTTATTCTTCCCTTCCCCAAATCATTTCAATAATACTAATATCATTTGCGAGGTAGTTTCTTAATAGTGATGATGATAAAATAATAATGATGCTTGAAGGCTGAAATATAGAGTAAGTTGCAGTTATATCCTTTGATGGGTGAGAGATCTAGAGGACAGGTGATGCTTGAATGTTGGGAAGTCAGAATTTGTGGTCTCTTCCATTTATTTTCATGAGCTCTCTTGAAAGTATTCACATGTGGAGCTTACTTATATGAAATTTTGAGAGCTCATGTAATAGTTTCAAAAACAACTACGTTTAGTCATTCATTGAGCTTTTCACTTTGTCTATCAGAACTGTGTTTTCTTTCCATCCTTTTACATTTCAGATCTTTATTTTCCTTTAAGCGTCTTGTGGTCCTAATATCTTGGAGCATTCATCTACCCACCTCTGCACTATTTTCTTTCTTTCTTTTCTTTCCTTCCTTCCTTCCTTTCCTTCCTTCCTTTCCCTTCCTTCTTCCCTCCCCCTCCTTCTTTCTTTCTTTCTTTCTTTCTTCCTTCCTTCCTTCCTCCCTTCCTCCCTCCCTCTCTCTCTCTCTCTCTTTCTGTCTTTCTTTCTTTCTCGCTCTCTCTATCCCCTCCTTCCTTTCTTCCTTCCTTCCTTTTATTTTTTTCCTTTTGAGATAGGATCTTGCTCTGTCACCCAGGCTAGAGTGCAGTGGTTTGATCACAGCTCACTGCGGCCTCCAACTCCTGGGCTCAAGTGATCCTCCTGCCTCAGCTTCCTGAGTAGCTGGGGCTACAGGCACACACCACCACACCTGGCTAATTTTTAAATTTTTTGTAAAGACAGGGTCTTGCTATGTTGGTTTCTAACTCCTGGCCTCAAGCAATCCTTCTGCTTGGGCATCCCAAAATGCTGAGATTACAGGCATGAGTCACCCACCTGGCCAGCACTATTTTCTGTGTAGCCTTCTGGACTAAACACTGTAAGTGCATTTACTACCTTTTAGAGTGACCTTGGACAAATCCTTTCACCCCCTAGGGCTTTGCTTTCTACTCCGTAAAATGAGATGGTCGAACTCCAAAGAATTTCTAAGATTCCTGTGGCCTTGACATTTTTGTCTCTTAATTGGATTATAAACACCTAGGAGTGTGATTGCATAGTTTCCCTTCTCCTACTCAAGATTTAGGAGTCCCTTACTCTGCAACTGCTTTCTTGGTTTTAGCCTATATGTGTTTCTTCCAGGCCTTAAACAAAGGGAAAAAAATGCTTGCCATGAATCTTGTGTTTTGTTCAACCATCACCCACTCCCCCAAAGAAACTTCAAATCTTAATTGCTTGGAAGAATTACTTCTGAGAAGAGTTTAAGATTAGACCAAAAGCATAACTAGTGTCAAATCTGGAACGAACAAGTTAATCTCTGATTAATTTGTACTGAAATTTGAAAGTAAAATGTCCAGTATTATATATAATAAGGAAGATACTAACATCCTCATAGCATGTATACAGAGTAGACATAGTATTTAAATCGCCAATACAAATAACTAGAATGGCAGGCTCTGATGGGGCCAGGCAGGTGAACACAGTCAAATCTTGTAATTTTGGGGTCTCAATTTGTTCATGTTTAAAATAAAGAGGTTGCACTAGAAAATTTCTATCCCATTTTTTGATTTTAATTAAAAAAATAAGCCTGGGATATAAAAAGAAAGGAAAATAGTTCTTTAGAAAGCTTAAACTCTAATTTATTAAAACTGTCATCTAAAGTTAATGAAATTATGCAAAAACAGTACAACCTTTCCAATCTAACAGGTATAACATTTTTGGAAGACAATGTAGCATAATATAATTAAAAACCACAAAAAAGTTTTGCATCATTTGACCCAGTAATATGATTACTTGTGGAAATAGTTTAGAAAGATAGGAAAGAATTATTTTCATTTCAGTGTTGTATGTAACAGTGAAAACCAGGAAGCATTGCAAACTTTCAATTATGGAAAATGGTTAGTTAAATTGTGGTGTATTATTGTGTTAAATAATATACTGTTATTAAAATCATTATGGATATTAGGAATAAACATAATATTAAAGTTCACATGTAGTTAAATAAGCAGAATACAAATTATTTTATACTATACATGTAAGTTTAGAGGTTAGCTATGTTCGAATGGCTACTGACTAGCAAACTAACCTTGACAAGTTCTTAACCTTTCGGTCTCAGGGTCCTCTTCTGTAAAATAGGAATGTAATTTCTATCTCACAGAGTCGTGTAGATTAATAGAGATAATTTTTGTAAAGCATTTAACATAGTATGCTCAGTAAATAGAAGCTGTTATTTTTATCAAGTGAACTAAGACTGGAGGAGAATATACAATAATAATTAGTTAAAATGGTAAAGTTGTGGATGATTTTAAAGAAATTTATCATTGTATTTTTGTAGTAAAAATGTAAAAATCTAATTGAAAAAATAGGATTAAAGAGTAAAGGCAAATAAAACAATAATAAAACCATAAGAGAACCAGAAATAAATAAATGTTAATATTTATATAATC